AGCCTGCGCGTCCGGAGCCTGTGCTCTGCAACGGGAGAGGCCACAATAGTGAGAGGCCCATGTACCGCAAAAAAAAAAAAAAAAAAACAGATTGTCAAGTATAGAATAATTCTGTCTCTAGAACAACCTACACGGCTTTTTTTATGAGAAAAAAAATGATAAGGCAATGAAATCAGCAATATTACATTTAAAATGAGTTACAAATATTTCAAACACTTGAAACACACTGTTAAATAGTTTTAATTTCTGAATATATTTTCTCTCCATTTATATTCAGTAAGTTAAATATAGTTCTAAATTATCTCACCTGGAGGCTGCTGAGGCCAAAAATACTGCTGCCAATCCTGAAGTACATAGGTAAACCGTATAGCAATACTAACTGGAGGCAACGGAGTTAAAGTACATCCCTAGGAAATAAATGCAAAGACAATACCATGTAAAGGTTAGTACCCTTGTAAATACCAGAACCAAATTTCAAACTATTGGAATAGATAAATTACTACCTTCATGAAATGTGGATTTTCAGATTACAGTGTTAGATACGGCACGCACATTCTAGCCATGAAAAATGTATATTCTAGCCATTAAAAAGGAAAACAAAGTCACTAAGTTATTAGAGCCAAAGGTGCAGAATTTAGGAAATAATTTTCATGGGAGAAATCCTTGAGCTTAAAAGCTCAAGAGATGAATTAATGCCAGAGAGCAAATTACATTAAAATAAAGCTGTTTAAACTACTACCAGGAAAAGAGATATTAAATTTTATTATGTAAAGTGCTCTTTCAAAATATCTTATACAATTTTAATTATACAAATTTCTTACTATTCTCTTCAGCCATGTTGAATGTGGAAAAAAATGTGACTCATTTTTTAAATAAGGTAAAACTATTATATAAAGTTTAACACTAGGTTTGAGAAGATGATGTCTTTTCTTTTAAATGAAAATAAACTCAAATTAAAGCCAGTCTTAAATATTTAACCAGAATTTTAGACTGTGACAAACGGCCACTCATGTAGTTTATATTAATGAATCAGAAAATTTAGATCTATCTTTACATTCATTAAAAATCATAAAAATTAATAATATCATCCAAACATCCCACAATCTCAGCTTCCCTTAATAATGGTTAACCTATATTAATGTGGAATAGGACCTAAATATGCATAGGAATGACCTAGTAAGCTTGTGAAAATGTAGATTCAATAGTATTCTGCATATCTACCCAGTTTCCAGGTGTTGCTGATATTGCTGATCAGGAGGAATAAAGAGACATTTAGCTCAGCAGCAGCATCTATAAATGTCATTAGTAACTTTAAATTAATACAAACTCAATCTCAAGTCACAAAATAAGGTAGCTGCCAAAAGCTAACTCAGTTTTGGGCTGCTGTGTCCTAGACAAGCAAGGTAAGATTCTGGCTGGTCAGGAATATTTATTTTTTACTCAGGTCTAGATATCAAATGAGCGTTCACCTGTAACTGGGTGTAAATTATCTAGAAACCATAACAAGGTCACTTTGACACATAACCTCCGCTCCAGTCACATAGCAATGTAGACAAATACAGAAAGAGATGACCAAAAAGAAATGTCTAGGACCAAACATGACATAAATATCTTTGTGGGCCTTAGAAAAGGTACAGAAAATCCAAAGTGTTAAATGGGGCTCAAGGCATATGCTTGCTGAGTTCCACATGCAGACGAAGGCAGTGAGAGCCAGGATTACAGACTGCATTAAATGGAACCAAAAGTACTCCGCCCAGAATGAGGGTACTGTAAGACTCTCGGCTTAAGGCAGACCCTGGGGCAGGGCACTCCTGCTTCGTGCAGTGGCTTTGTTGGAAGGTATGGGGCTAGGGAAAGTTGTGTGAGCGGGGGACAAACCCACTCTCATGACCCAAGCAAGCAATCCAATGAGTCCAAGACTCAATGTGCAATACCCCAATATCAATATGGAGCAAAAGGCTGCAAACACCATTTTAAGACCAGTGTCTGAAATATTCTGCAGGTAAGGAGCAACCACACAATTACAAAACCACTAGAGAGGATGGGAGAGAAAGTTAAAAACTGTAAATAAAGCCTTCATTCAAAATGAGCCTGCAAACAAAATTTCCCCAGAACATGAAGAAATGTAGTTCTAAAAAAGACAAATATCCAAAACAACAATGAGAATATAAAACTATGAAATATAAGGAACATCTGATAGAATGAGAATGTCTAAACTGAAAAAGGAAAGACTAGGGTATGTGAGAGTTTTCAAATACTTAGAGGATTACATGGCAAAAGAGGATTTAAACTTAAATTTTATGTGATTCCAAGGACAACCACCCTCTGCTGCCACCCTGCCAATGAAGCCTTTTCTAATAATTAGATCCATGTGAAAATGAAATAAACTGCCAGTGGAGGGTGAGTGCCTTGGAACACTTCTAGTAGATTTAAAGAGTAATATTTATAAAGATAGCTTTATAAAGAAAGTATAAGAGAGCCACATATTGGGTAGCTTTAACTATGTAAAACAACTAAAGTACCCAAAACCAGGTCTCAATTATCTTAAGTTCAACTCTATCAAATCAACTTTGAGAAATGTTTCATATTTAGACAAGAGGTTTGTAAAAGTTCTGACAGATGATGTGATAAACTGATTAGGAACACTTTTTTTTTAAAGTACAATTAGTAAATAGTCATAATAAAAGTCAGGCTCCACAGATCAAGGTGGTCCCCAGTTTCAGTAAAGAGAAGTTGAGTAACATAAAAGAGTGACATAAAAGATCCATGAAAACAACATTCACTAATGTTTTTTAAGAAGAGGAATAAAGCATTAATATTTCCATCTGACTAGAATTTGATCTAAAATAATTAAAAATAAGTGAAGACTTCTGGTGAGAACAAAGTAAAACTAATGGGGTAGAAATAACGCATACTTGACTTTTTCAAAAATTTCTCAAAGCAACACGTGTAGAATTAAGCAGTACTTAAAGCATTTCAAAGTCCAGAAAGGTTTTGAAAAAAAGTTACATACAGACATGGAACTTTCTAAAAGATATGCTTCTATGCTTTTTTTAATAGAGATAATCACAAGAAACAGCTAACAATAGTTATTTTGAGGAAAGGGACTAAGGGTATAGAGAAGTTTTTACTTAAATTTAACTCAGTATATGCAGACTTTTTTAAAAATATCAAACAGATTTATGTGGGTGGTGATAATCCTACTACCCTGCTATTTATGGCCTCAAAATTGAAAACATATTTTTTATGAAATTAAATTCTAATCCTAAATATCTTTCTACAAACAATGTATGTTAAGACATTTCAGCGTTTTTTCTCACATTTTTTTCCTTTTCAAAATTTGCAAACCTTCAGAAAGGTTGCAAAGCTAGCGTAATGAATACCGGTATGACTTTCACCAAGCTCACCAATTAACATTTTGATAAACGCACATACTATCATATATTTACATAAATAATTTTTTTGGCTGAACCTCTGAAAGTAAGTTGTAGGCATCATGGCAATTCACCCCTAAATACTTCAGCATGTAATTCCTATGAACAAGGGTTATCACACTCAAGAAGTTTAATATTGATACTATTTTCTAACATATAGTCCATATTAAAATTGCCCCAACTGTCCCAATTGTGTCCTCTGTGGCTATTTTGTTTTGATCAAGGATCATGCATGTTATGTCACTTCAGTCTCCTTTAGGCTAAACAGCTCCCAGCCTTTGTTTTGCCTATCATGATACTGACAGTTTTAAAGAGTCTGGGCTTTACTTTGTAAAATATGGCTCATTTTGGAAATATGTGATTGTTTCATGTTTCGATTTATGTTAAACATTTTTAGCAG